AAAAAAAAAAGAATAACATGATGATCTGAAACGATTATTCCAAAGGCAAAAAAGATAGCTAATTGCATAGCAGTTAGATTTGGGTTTTACTTTCAAGCTGAAGTTATACATATGCATGAAGAAAAAAATGTAGTGATGTTGATTCAAAAACCACGTATTTCTAAAACTATATCTAACTTCAGAATGTGTTTGAATTTCACTTGGTATTTCACTGGAAATCTATCTGAGCTCCACTGAACTAAAACAGCCAAGATTAACTGCAATCTACTTGGGTCAAAAGGAACGAGGTAAATTTCCAAATCATAGGGAATTTTTTAACCCGAATGAGGGGTTAACTCCTTCTTTCAGGCTATTTTTCCTAAAAAAGACAAAGCCAAATGCCAAACTTCTCTGCAACACGGATGGTGTTAAGAAATCCGAAAAGTTTCATTCAGCTGGCAAGGCTTTCCTGAGCACCGTTGTGCAGGTAACTGTGTGTGACTGTTATTCAATATGCTTACAGAATAGAGTCCTCTATGATAGCTGAGGTATCAAAGGACAAAGTAAAAGGACAAAGTTGGAAATCAATTAAAAAGGAAAATAAAGAATAAACATATAGCAGCCTGGCAATTTAATGCAATATATAAAAATGCATACATTATTAATTTTTATGTTGAAAAGGAAACACTGCTATGTATATAGGTAGTTATAATCTATAGATATAGATATTTCAATAATATACAAACTAAAGTACACAGTAATTAAAAATGCTAAATGTCCATTGTCGGATGACTGGATAAGAAAAATGTGGTAAATTCACACAGCAGAATACTACTCTGCCATTAAAAAAGAATGAAATTCTGCCATTCGCAGCAACATAGATGAACTTAAAGAAAATTATGTTAAGTGAAATAAGACAGTCACAGAAAGAGAAATACCACATGTCCTCACTTATAAGTGGGAGCTAAAAAATAAACAAAAGAAAAAGAAAGATTTAACAATCACATTAATACCTTGAACTTTCAAAAGAAGAGAACAGAACTGAGGTTACCAGAGGTGGGAAAGGGAGAGCAAGAGCAGGGAAAGGGAGGAATTGGTAAAGGGCCACAAAAATTGATTACATTGTATAATATTGAACATACTAATTATCCTGATTTGAACATCACATCNTTTTTTTAAAAAAGATGATGGATCTAATTTCAAACATATCAGTCACAGCAACAATTGCAAATGGGTTAAAATCATCTGTTAAAAGATAAGACCATCAAATTGGTCCTCAGAGAAAGATCCAACCATATATTGTTTATAAGAAACATTTTACAAAGGAAATAAAACACTTGAACAACAATAACAAAAAATGCTAAGAACAAGATAATAGTCATCACATACTAATAAATATACATTCAAAATTAATATAATTAAACGAGAACATGTTTTGTCCTCAACTGCCACAAGTTTTAAGATATTAAGAAAACCCTATTTCATATCCCAAAAATGCCTCTAAAATTTCTCACATCATATTTGCTATAAAGAGAGAAAATGGTTAACAAATGAGAAGGTTAAATTGCTCCAAAGTGAATACTCTGTGCCTACCCAATTTTTTTAAGGCATATATGTCATCAATTTTGAGATTATCCATTCTTTCTTCAATTTCCTCATCTTCACCATCCAAATTAGTTTCTGTTTCCACTGCTCCAGTTAGAAAGAGAACTGGTGTTTTTGGTGGTTCTACAATAGTTCCTGAAACAAGAATTGCTAACATAAATCACTAGTAGCTGAGGACCATACTGAAGTGAGCTTATTTCACTCCTGTTCCCCTATTTCACAACCTCATTAAAAGTATCTCAGGTAACATACATACATGATTTCTTTAACTTAAAATGTCATGTGTGATAACCAATCAATTCCTTAGAAAAAAAACTTGTCGATAGTATTGAAAAGAATACCGAACTAGGCAATGCGAAGAGAAAAGCAAGGTAAAGTCGATGACAAAGAAGGGGTAGATGCTTTTCAAGATAGCCTTGGAAAAGAAAAAAATCACTAAGGTCTGATGCTCTTGCTGCTGTGGTGGGTAGGGAGCAAAACATGAAGAATAAGCTGTACCAATTGCTCTGGGATCTCCTAGGTTCTGGCATGACACCATCAAGAGTATAACAAACAAGTCTACATAGGTAACCTTATTAATTGGAAGGGAGTTGGAAAGAATTCCCTTGGGTGCAGAGATTCCTCCCTTAGCTAAACTGAGCTAAGTAAATAGAAGTTACGTGAAGTTTTCATTCTCAACCCTTTAAGTCACTACGTATCTCTTAAACATACATAGTGAAAAGCTGAACCAGTCATTTTAGGTTATTTTTAAATAATTACACATCACTAATAAAGTATTCTTATCAAAAATATATAATCTGGCTCTAAGACTTTAGATCTAGCTTCTAACTCACAGGAAACACAGAGGGTTGAAGAACAAGATAAATGACACCACAAGGAAACAATCAAATTTAGAATGTGGCATTCTAGTGACAAACGGACTAATCCCTTCAAAAAGTCTATGCCTTGGGGGCAGGAGTGGGATATTTGTCTAGATTAAGAAGTCAAAGAGATATAACAAATGGAATAAGTGTAATGCATGATTGGTTCTCGGTTTGGGATTTTGGGGGGAGATTGGGGGTAGTAGGAGTGGGAAGAAAAGCTACTGAAGATTTTGGGGGCAATTAGAAAATTTTAAGTATGCACAGGGTATCTGATAATAGAGGATTACTATTAATTTTCTGTGGCATGATGGTATCATGGTTATGTAAGAGAATATCTTATTTTTTATAAGATATGAACCGAAGTCTCTAGGGGTAAAGTGTCATGACATCTACCACTCACTCTGAAATGGTTCAGGAAAAAAATATAAATAGATGAAGCAAAATGGCAAAATGTTAACTATTGGATCTAAATGGTATGTTTGTGGGTATTCATTATATCATTTTTCATCTTTTCCATATATTTAAAATGTTTTTACAATAAAAATTTGAAAAATATAACCAGTTAAGAGTTCCTATGATTTTAACATGACACTTTAAACCACAGGTAGGATTTTTTTAAGACCATTAAGACACCCATAAACGCACATCTGAATGCTAGAATAAGAAAGGTCAACCATCTGCTGTAGCGTTATCCACAATAACCAAGAAGTGGAAACAATCTAAGTGTACATTTAGAATAAATGGATAAAAAAAACGTGGTACATACAAACAAGGAAATATTATTCAGTCTTCAAAAAGAAGAAAAACCTGTCATATGCTACACAGCATGGATGAACCCTGAGGACATTATGTGAAGTAAAACGAGCTACAGAAGGACAAAGCCCACATAATTCCATTTACATCAGGTATCTAAGTAGTCAAATTCATAGAAACAGAAAGTAGATGGTGGCTGCCAAGGGCTGAGGGAAGGCGAAATGGGGACTTATTTAATGGGTACAGAGCTTCAATCATACAACATGCAAAAGTTCTGGAGATCTGATGTACAATGCGCATTTAGATAAAAATACTGTAGCGTACACTTAAAAATTCGTTATGAGGGTAGATTTCCTGTTACGTATTTTTTACCACAATTAAAAAAATATGCCAACCAGAAGCTGCTAGATAGCTGGGGAAAACAGTTACACATCACCAGAGTTTACTGAACAAAGCAGTGTAATTGTGTGCTCAAAGAGTATACAAATAGGTACACAAATATGTATACACACGGTATACAAATAGTAGGAATTTAGAGAAGAAAAAGAGTAAGATTTAGAATGGTAGCAGGAGGTACTGTGCAAGAGCTAGAAGCTCCTTTCAGTAAAACAGAATTCTAAATGCTGACAATTTGCAAGGCACAAAAAGATATGTGGCAGGGGGTGGGGGGAAGGGCATAACCACTCCCCTACATTATAGTCCTACACCCTACACATCAAGCAGTGTGCTAAATGTGACAGTAGCGTGTTTTTCAAAGGGTGCTAGTGAAGCTTNTATTTCACTCCTGTTCCCCTATTTCACAACCTCATTAAAAGTATCTCAGGTAACATACATATATGATTTCTTTAACTTAAAATGTCATGTGTGATAACCAATCAATTCCTTAGAAAAAAACCTTGTCAATAGTATTGAAAAGAATACGGAACTAGGCAATGAGAAGAGAAAAGCAAGGTAAAGTCGATGACAAAGAAGGGGTAGATGCTTTTCAAAATAGCCTTGGAAAAGAAAAAAATCACTAAGGTCTGATGCTCTTGCTGCTGTGGTGGGTAGGGAGCAAAACATGAAGAATAAGCTGTACCAATTGCTCTGGGATCTCCTAGGTTCTGGCATGACACCATCAAGAGTATAACAAACAAGTCTACATAGGTAACCTTATTAATTGGAAGGGAGTTGGAAAGAATTCCCCTGGGTGCAGAGATTCCTCCCTTAGCTAAACTGAGCTAAGTAAATAGAAGTTATGTGAAGTTTTCATTCTCAACCCTTTAAGTCACTACGTATCTCTTAAACATACATAGTGAAAAGCTGAACCAGTCATTTTAGGTTATTTTTAAATAATTACACATCACTAATAAAGTATTCTTATCAAAAATATATAATCTGGCTCTAAGACTTTAGATCTAGCTTCTAACTCACAGGAAACACAGAGGGTTGAAGAACAAGATAAATGACACCACAAGGAAACAATCAAATTTAGAATGTGGCATTCTAGTGACAAACGGACTAATCCCTTCAAAAAGTCTATGCCTTGGGGGCAGGAGTGGGATATTTGTCTAGATTAAGAAGTCAAAGAGATATAACAAATGGAATAAGTGTAATGCATGATTGGTTCTCGGTTTGGGATTTTGGGGGGAGATTGGGGGTAGTAGGAGTGGGAAGAAAAGCTACTGAAGATTTTGGGGGCAATTAGAAAATTTTAAGTATGCACAGGGTATCTGATAATAGAGGATTACTATTAATTTTCTGTGGCATGATGGTATCATGGTTATGTAAGAGAATATCTTATTTTTTATAAGATATGAACCGAAGTCTCTAGGGGTAAAGTGTCATGACATCTACCACTCACTCTGAAATGGTTCAGGAAAAAAATATAAATAGATGAAGCAAAATGGCAAAATGTTAACTATTGGATCTAAATGGTATGTTTGTGGGTATTCATTATATCATTTTTCATCTTTTCCATATATTTAAAATGTTTTTACAATAAAAATTTGAAAAATATAACCAGTTAAGAGTTCCTATGATTTTAACATGACACTTTAAACCACAGGTAGGATTTTTTTAAGACCATTAAGACACCCATAAACGCACATCTGAATGCTAGAATAAGAAAGGTCAACCATCTGCTGTAGCGTTATCCACAATAACCAAGAAGTGGAAACAATCTAAGTGTACATTTAGAATAAATGGATAAAAAAAACGTGGTACATACAAACAAGGAAATATTATTCAGTCTTCAAAAAGAAGAAAAACCTGTCATATGCTACACAGCATGGATGAACCCTGAGGACATTATGTGAAGTAAAACGAGCTACAGAAGGACAAAGCCCACATAATTCCATTTACATCAGGTATCTAAGTAGTCAAATTCATAGAAACAGAAAGTAGATGGTGGCTGCCAAGGGCTGAGGGAAGGCGAAATGGGGACTTATTTAATGGGTACAGAGCTTCAATCATACAACATGCAAAAGTTCTGGAGATCTGATGTACAATGCGCATTTAGATAAAAATACTGTAGCGTACACTTAAAAATTCGTTATGAGGGTAGATTTCCTGTTACGTATTTTTTACCACAATTAAAAAAATATGCCAACCAGAAGCTGCTAGATAGCTGGGGAAAACAGTTACACATCACCAGAGTTTACTGAACAAAGCAGTGTAATTGTGTGCTCAAAGAGTATACAAATAGGTACACAAATATGTATACACACGGTATACAAATAGTAGGAATTTAGAGAAGAAAAAGAGTAAGATTTAGAATGGTAGCAGGAGGTACTGTGCAAGAGCTAGAAGCTCCTTTCAGTAAAACAGAATTCTAAATGCTGACAATTTGCAAGGCACAAAAAGATATGTGGCAGGGGGTGGGGGGAAGGGCATAACCACTCCCCTACATTATAGTCCTACAATCAAGCAGTGTGCTAAATGTGACAGCGTGTTTTTCAAAGGGTGCTAGTGAAGCTCAAAGATATGTGGCAGGGGGTGGGGGGAAGGGCATAACCACTCCCCTACATTATAGTCCTACACCCTACACATCAAGCAGTGTGCTAAATGTGACAGTAGCGTGTTTTTCAAAGGGTGCTAGTGAAGCTTATAAGAAAGAGTCCCAAACCAAGGAGGACAGGGTGCAGATTTAGAGTCAAAACTTATCCCAATCCAAATTTAAAATGTAAGCAAGCCCAGTAAAGAATTGCTAACTCACAGATACTGGGCATGCTACATTCATTTGGTAGAGTAGACTGAAGCCAAGGGCTCTGTCAGAGCTATTAAAAGCCATTATATTTATATAAATATTTATGTAAATGTTTTAAGGTCAATATGACATTTGCATAATTTTTATTATTTAGGGTATTTTAAATTTCATATATATAAGGCTATTGACAGGGCATCTGTCTTTCAGCATCAAAATTTCTACTATCACAAAAAAACATAAAAAGTTCCCATTTAAATACAAATCAATATCAGTTGAAAGAGCAAAGGCTGCTGCCATGCTTATTATATCTTCAGAGAAATATTTCTAGACGGGGGAAAAATTATTCATCTTCTGATAAATCCTAATAGAATATTACTTGCTCACTAGTTATATAATTAGTCATTCATTTTAAATTGAATATGTGTTCCCATGATTGTCGACTTTTGTTGATCCATATATTTATAAGTTGATAATTAGAAACTGACATGCATAAGGCGTGGTGCTGATAACACCAAGGTCCAGGGTTTGATCCCTGTATCGGCCAAACGCCAAAACAAAACAAAAAAACCTGACATGCATATAATTATGTATTCATTACATAATGAAAGTTTACCATTCTTATAACCAAATCAACAACAAATATTATTTTATAAATAAAATGTTACTACTAGAAATCCTTGTTTAATTTTCTCACTACACTTCAAAAAGTAAGAGACAGAATAGAATAAAATATATCATTAAAAGTAATATAAAGTCTGAAGTTTGCAAAATGTCTAAGCATTAGACAAATGAGAGTCCCTGGAACAAAAGATGTCAATGCTTTATTATTCAAATATGAGTAATAAATTAAATTTGAAAGCTTTTTGGAAAAATGATTTCCATCTCCATTTAGAGAAGCTCTCAGAGTTTACTGCACATCAGGGTTCATGTCCTAACATTTGGACTGGCACATTATAATAAGCAAAGGAAACGCTTCTTCAATGCACAAATGAGCTGATTCATTTCTCCATCACTGCATTATGCAAGGTGGGCAATTTTTCCTGCTCAGACTCACAGAACAACTTTCATAACTTAGCTATTCTTCCAAACTTGGACTACATAAGGAGGAGAGAGGTGCTGCAATAAATTACCTCTGTCTGAGGGCTGTTCAAGTGGAGCAGACAAGGGTGTCTTCCTTCGAACTAGGGTTAGACGTACCACCTGCCCTGCATTTCGTAAAACTTCAACAACATCCTGGTTGGCAAAACCCTGAATATTCACACCATCAACCTAAATCATTGAGAGACACATAAAACAGAGGTTTCAAGTTAGCTACTATTTTTAACTCTGGGAAGGCTGAATAAAATGACGCAAGTCATTTTATTCCAAAAATAATTTATATGAGACTTCAGAAAGTATTTTTGAATAAGGATGCAAAACTAGTAGTAAAACATGGTGACAAACTTACTTACACCCTGAAAAACAAATTCAAATTTGTACTCCAAAGTCACACTTTTCAACAGCCTGAGTAAGGTAAAAGGTTTTAATTTCTGCTGCTATTCAAAATGCCATAAAAGATGGTCAATTGTTATGCACAGCACTCAAGCTATATGAATAGAAACCATTACTCTATCATATCACTATGTGATATTTTCCAGAGAAACACACTGATCTACTTCCATTAGGTCTTCCAGTGTTCTGAAAAAAGTATGTTTTTACAAAACATAAAAGGTGTTCTTAATCTAAGGCTCAATTCCACATTTCTAAAGTCCATCAGGACCAATAGGCTTCCTCTTTGAATCTTTAAGATAGCCAAACCATTACTTTGGCTTTCTCCACAAGTATTTTCTCTAAAGCATCCACTGCTATGGCTAGCCTCAAGACACAGCAAATCACCTAAGCCCACTAATGTAAAAGCCAAGAGTCATGAAAGGTGTTTCCTTTGATGGGCTTGAAGGATAAAGATTCAAATCATGCCACTCAACATTTGTTTCTACATAATTCATTGTGTGTGCATGTGTTTGTATATTTATGTGTGTGTATATGTAGGTATAGACATTAAAATATATATACACATATAAATTTATCTAATTTCTACTAAATTAGGAAAAGCCCTGTTTTAATTGGTAAAAGGTAATTACTGTATTCTCAAATATATAAAATATCTCGACTTTGGACATACTTAAAATTATTGTTAGTAGAAAATCTACTTTCATGAAGAGATGAATAGAGCTGGTTAACAGCCTATTAACGGTATATAAAATGGCTGAGCTTAAAGAACACAAAGAGGTGCTTGAAAAATGTTTCTTAGGAGAATGCCAGAACATCTTTCATATATGTGTGTATGTATATAAAAATATACATATTATTTTTTTTCCTGCCAATATGATTAGTGAATGCCTTCTCCACTGACAGTGGAAAAAAATCAAATTTAAGAGCATAAGAGTCCAAATTAATGAGATTTCACTATACTACGAAGCTTAATTTTTTAAAAACCTTATGAAACTGTGTTAAGCCATCCCCCTTTCATACATATTAAAATAAAGGTCAACCCTTTTTTCAAATCTAAAACAGAGGGCACTTACTTACAGCAACTATTTTGTCATTCACTTGAATGTGGCCATTGTGGTATGCAGCACTGCCAGGTATGATACTCTTCACATAAATCCCTGAAGCTTCCCCTGAAGATGTACAGACATACAGAAAAAAGGGAAAAAAAACCTCTAATTAGGCCTTGATTGCAAAATTCATATCAAGAGGTTAATTAGCTAAAGGGGCTGACTGGAGGCTTGACAAATACTATTTTGAACACAAGTACATAAATTGATGGATTATTTCAAACTGTCATCATCACAAGTGACCTGAATTCAGAATGACTTGACTGATGACTACTCTTCTGGAAAAATAATCAGTAATGAAACCTTAATGAAATGCACTACAATCTAAGCTGGAATTCAGGAGAGCCCAGGTTAAGTCGGACCCTCTTCTCTTGGTCTCTCTCCATTCTTTTTCCTGACATGGCTTAACCCTTCATTTTTCACCAGCACTGTGACAAGTCCCTAACTGGTTTTCCTGCCTATATGAGGGTACTCCAAAAAGTTCATGGAAAAATTGAGTTAAAAGATAATACAAATCTTTCCATTAACTTTTTGAAAATCCCTCACATTTAGTTCACTGCTCATGTTAGCTACCCAAACACAGAAAAAAGAAAAGTACACATGATCTTTAATAAACTAAAATTTAAATAAAAGAATGAGCTCAGGAAAATGAAATAATCCTTATAAGACATTTAAACAGAATCAAATGGCTATATAAAATTATATCTATATAAAAGTGTGCATTTCTATTGGTAAAGACTAGAAGGAAAATTGGAAAACAAAAAACCATAGATCTGGATGATTTTATATTTTTATTTTTTAATTTCAAATGAACTCAAAACATTGTCTATAGAAAAAATAAACAATGGATTTCTACTGCCTACATAACATCACATAAATTTCATAGAATCACATTCAAGGCCCTCAGTAATCTGCCCCAAACTTATTTTTCAACTTTATTTTCCGCTACATCCCTCCAACAAGACAGAAGTCCAGACACAGGAGACGTTAATGTTCATGTCTCTTTACCAATTTCTTTTTCCCCTCCCTCCCTCCTCCCCCTCCCCTCATCAACTCATATCTGATCACTTATCTCAACAAGTTCAAGGAATTGTTGTGATTGTTGTGTCTTCTTCCCCACCCCCAATCCCCACCATTTGTTTATTGATTGATTGTAGTATAAAAGGGCTGGAGGAGGTATTGTAGAACCTTTCTAGCACTTATGAGAGGTAAATTAACACCAATTGCTAAACATAGAAACTGGATAAATTTCAATATTCATTTAGAAATTAATTTTATGATGCTGTCCTAAGTATTAAAATACAGGTTATACTTAAATCATTCAAAGTTTGGCATGTTCACACATGTGCACAAAGTATTTGATAGATATTTACACACTGGGAGACACAATTATGGTCTGACTTTGGAGTTTTGGCAGATCTGGGTTCAAATTCTGGCAAGTTTCCCTACTAGCTTTTTTTGGGTGCGTGTGATCCGAACCCTCGGGCGGGAGCGCCGCCGCGCTTCCCAAGCGGCGCACTATCCAGTGCGCCACCGGGCCGGCCCGATATTTCCCTTTCTGTACCTAACTTATTTCACTTAACATAATTTTTCTAAGTCCATCCAGGTTGCTGCAAATAGCAGTATTTCATTCTTTTTTGTAGCAGAGTAGTATTCCATTGTGTAGATATACACAGTTTCCTTATCCACTCATCTGATGATGGACATTTGGGCTGGTTCCAACTCTTGGCTATTGTAAATAGTGCTGCAATAAACACTGGAGTACAAGTACCCCTCGGACATGATAATTTCTATTCCTCTGGGTATATTCCCAGCAGTGGAATAGCTGGGTCATATGGTAGATCTATCTGTAATCGTCTCAGGAGCATCCACATCATTTTCCATAAAGAATGCACCATCTTGCAGTCCCACCAACAGAGTATGAGTGTTCCTTTTTCTCTGCAACCTCGCCAGCATTTATCATTCTCAGTCTATTGGATATTAGCCATCCTAACTGGAGTGAAATGGTATCTCAAAGTGGTTTTGATTTGCATTTCCCAAATGCTGACTGATGTTGAGCATTTTTTCATGTGTCTGTTGGCCATTCGTATATCTTCCTTTGAGAAATGCCTATTCAGCTCCTTTGCCCATTTTTTAATTGAGTTACTTGTTTTTTTGCTGTAAAGTTGTTTGAGTTCCTTATATATTCTGGATATTAATCTTTTGTCAGATATATATTTTGCAAATATTTTCTCCCATTCTGTTTGTTGTCTTTTCACTCTGTTAATTGTTTCTTTTGCTGTGCAGAAGCTTTTTAGTTTGATATAATCCCATTTGTTTATTTTTCTTTTGGTTGCCTGTGCTTTTGGGATTGTATTCATGAAGTCTGTACCCACACCTACTTCCTGGAGTATTTCCCCTATGCTTTTTTTTTTTTTTAAGGGGTTTTATTGTTTCCGGGTGTATATTTAATTCTTTAATCCATTTTGATTTGATTTTGGTATATGGTGAGAGGTATGAGTCAAGTTTCATTCTCCTGCATATGAATATCCAGTTTTCCCAGTACCATTTGCTGAAGAGGCAGTCTCTTCCCCAGTGTGCAGACTTGGTGCTCTGTCCAAGATCATATGGCTGAAAGTATATGGGTTGATTTCTGGATTCTCTATTCTACTCCACTGATCCATGCAGACACAGGAGACTCTTGACATTCTACCAAAACACCAAGTATTTTCATAATTTTACCCTGTCTTTCATTTAATTCTTTTTTCCTGTCAACCTTGTCCCTTCTGTCAAAATTCTTCTTCTCCGTTCCTAGCTCAAATGCCTCCTTCTTTATGGATTCTCCATTTCCCTCTGTAAAATCAAACATTTCATCTGCCATACCATGATAGTTTGCTTGTATCTCTGCTAAAACATATACTTCATTCATCCTTAAATAATTAAGAGTTGTTTACATGTTTGTCTCCCTAAATAGACTTTACTTATATTCATTTTTCTATCTCCTCCAGAACTAAGCAAAGTAACCCCTCAAAAGTCCACTGAATTTAATGGAGTGAAAATTATTTTGAAAACTATTTGTTGAAAAGTATGTTGAATTTTAAAAGGTTCCAATTTTTGAATTCACTCGCCCCCATAACCTCAAGCCAAGTCACCCAATCTCAAAAATTTCCTTTGAAGATAGAGAAGTAAAATCATTCTTTTCTTTATTCAGTAACATAAAGTCAAATTTTCTCAATTTTCTATCAGTCATTCACTTTCATTTAGGAACCAAGCCATAAGTTCAGGCACTAAACCATGATTCCCCTAATCAGACTTAGCATATTGAAAACTACTCAATATGGTTTTTTACAACATTATTACACAATCCAAACATAGCTCTTTTGGAACTCATTGAAATTGTGAAAACGTTTTTTTAAAAAGGTAGCACTTAGAAAAATCTAAAGGTTTTAAAAAATATTTCATTAGGCTAAAATAGCACAAGGTGGTCTGATATGAATTTCATTCAGGACTCTGAATATATTAGCACTCTTAATCTTTCCACCTGCTGTAAGCATGCAAGATAATTGGTTTTTTATAGAAAGTAATTCTCTAATCTTTTTTTTTTAATAGACTAGAATATTTCATGACTCTGAATTTTCATGTTATTAGCAAATATTTCTGGAAAAGTTTATTTTTCCTTATCCTAACAATTCTCTTATAATAAAAGAATAACTCTTATAGTGGAAGTTACCAAGCTTTGCAGGTTGGGGAAGTTTTATTCAGAAATAATTGAGCCGTATATTTAGTCTCACACTTTATTCCTTTTATATGAAAGAAAAATAATTCTAATTAAAATATCTGTTTTATTTTTTTAGTGATTAAACATAATAGTGATACTTTTTGAACATTCATGATATGAAATACATACAGTCATCCATTTACTTTATAATAAGCATAAGATATATTAACAGTCGCAATATTCAAAATACATCTATTTTAGAAATAAGAGGAAGTACAATTCAAATACTGTTGAGAGATGGACAGTTACATTATTTTGTTAATGACCATCAAGCCAGCTATAAAACTATTGAGATAAAAATGTAATTCTGTAATCACTGAGATGTAAGTAGTTGCTATTATAGACTCGTGGTTTTATTGTTCAAGTTTTAAATTAAAAGCTGCAGGTATTTAATTTTACTGTCTAGAAACCTTAACATTCTTTACAATTATTTCCAAATATAAAATAGAAATGACTCATTTACCTGTATGAGATGTTCCAACATAGCCAACAATTCTAATCCCAAGACTCTGTCCATCTTTTTTAATGAGTTCAACATTATAAGTTTCAAAAAGAGAACTGTCCTAAAAGGAAAAAACAAAATTATTATATAAGTTTAGTTACATAACTGTGTGTACAAAGTCAATCTGTGCAAGGTTTACTAAGTATTTTCATAGTACCTGTGGTAGGCAGAATTTTAAGAAAGTCCCCAGGACCTTCAATCCCTGGTACTTTTCCCACATGTCTGTTACATTACATGAAAAAGGGAGATTATATGGTGCCCTTCAAAAGAAATCAGTCTTCTTTTGCCAGAAAAGAAAGTAAAAAAGATTTGAAGCATATGAACACAACTTGTGGTTTGAAGTTGGAGGGGGTCATATAAGAAGGAATGCAGGGGCCTTAAGAAGTTGAAAGAGGTCCTTGGCTGATAGCAAGCAAAGAAAAAGGGATCTCAGTCCTACAGCTGCAAGGAACTGTATTCTGCCAACAACCTGAAAGAGCTTACAAGTGAATTGTCCCCAGAGCATCCAGAAAAGAACCCAGCCAAGCTGACACCTTGATTTTGGCCTTGTAACAATTTAAGCAGAGAGTCCATCCAAGCCCACCCTGAATTCTGACCTACAGAACTGTAAATAACGAAGGGTATTGTTTAAGCTGCTAAAGTAGTGGTAATTTGTTATACAACAATGGAAAACTAATACAGCCATTTAGGAAAGACTCAGGTTACATTTGTATCTGAAAGAACTACAGCATAAAGAAAAATTTAGAAACAAAAGGTAAGACTAGTTATTGTAAGTAATATAAAAAATACCGACCTAAAACTTATTTTCAATACTTGTCTTTCTGTAAAGGAATAAGGTGCCTAAACACATAATACTTTTTTTTCAATTTAAAACATTATAATTAGAAAGCAAATAATTGATCAGATCAAATTCCCACTTATCACACAGCTACACTGGTCCCGCACCTACAAAGTAGAAGGCTCCAGGGAACTAGAATAAGGGAGAGAAAAGAAAATGGTTGTAACCACAATTTGAAGAAATTAATAAAAAAAAAAGATCAGATCAAATTCCCACTTATCACACAGCTACACTGGTCCCGCACCTACAAAGTAGAAGGTTCCAGGGAACTAGAATAAGGGAGAGAAAAGAAAATGTTTGTAACCACAATTTGAAGAAATTAATAAAAAAAAACAAAAAACCAGGTTCTAGTATCTCAAACAGAAAACTTCCACTCATATGGCTCCAAGTAGGGAAAGGCAAACAACTTTCCAAAAGACACTGAGTGACATCTCAGGTGATGATGATCAGTGACCTTCTACCTTTTCCCACCATAACCACTTCTCTTTTCTTCCCTCTTCCTCTGTACAGAGTTAGAAATCTTGATTTTTAGAATAGGGTTTTTAGGTAAATGCATGTATAGGGCAAAAGCCCTTGGGTAGGGGGCCACAGCCCACAGACAGCCCAGCAACAGCTAATCAACTCTAATCACTGCTTAGGTATGGGATTGTGTACTTTAATGATTTTAGAGCTAACAGGTATCCAGTTAAGAGATTTTGAGAATTGCTGAAGGGAAAGATGTGAAAAAAATGTTTGCTAGGGGCAAGCTGTCTGTTGGGAGAAACTTTAGAGATAATTATATTTAGATTTTATCATAAGAATGCAACTTTTGCTTAAGGAGAGGTTATACTTTAGATAATGATTGCAGTTTGACCAACTTAGCTTTTCACAAATTGTACTTTGGAATGTCACATTGCTAATTTTACCAATGTTACTAGTTTCCATTGTTTAAGCTATACTCAGCCATAGATAACTAGACAGAAAGAGATAAAAGATAAAAAATGTAATTTTTGAATTCACAAAGCTTTCAATGTTCTCGACGCAGAGCACCCCTGGGCCTGTAGTCCCACTCTTCCCGCGGTTCTCAGACCTCAACTGATTTTTCTTGTGAAACTTCCTTGTCTTTACAATAAAAAACAGAAGCTAACTTTGAATCAGAACTGCACCCAGTGTTCTCCTTCTAATAGATAAGTTGCTGGGGTACAGACCCTTCGGGCTTCTCATCACATTCATGGTGCTTTGAGTAATCCTTTTTTGCATCACCATTACACAGTGATAAGTGTAACATTCCTCCTGGCCCCTCTTTTTTAAAACTATTTCTTTGCTTTTGCTTTAATATGTCTTCATTCAGAGCTTGTGAAATACTGGGAAAGAACTTGGTAGGGACCAGAAAGATCTGAATTCAGATTCCAGCTTTGCAACTTACTCCATATGAGGACTTTAACAAGTTGTTTGACTTTAGTTTCCTCATCTATTAAATGGATGAGAAAACCTATCTTGCAAAATTACTACAAGGGTTTCAGATGACCTGGACAATTCCAGATACTCGATAATGACTAATAATAGTGATTATCATTATGTAACTATAATAATTGTTAATAATTATAATGAATATTACTATTAATGTCCATTCCTTTCGGCCAGTCTACTGTTATCAGTGATAATTCTTATACATTGACTGGTATTTCCTGTTTTCCTTCCACCATCTGGATGTCTCCTCGCCAACCTAATAAAATAGACAAGGCAAGTAGTAGTATTCTCCAACTTACAAGTGAGTAGCTGAGGCTCAGGGAAGTTGAATGGCTCAACCCTCAAAAAAGAAAATCAAAAATGTCTAGTGTCTCCAGACTGGGTTCTCTTCTGCTTCCCTGGTGAGCACAGAGACACAACTGAGATACGACTCATCTCACTGTGGTGTTTTGAGTGGAAAGAATTTCTTACCTTGCAGTGTGTCACACCCAGTATTTGATTTAAGATGAAAGAATGAATCATATACTCACAGAGTCAGGGCTCTTGTTGGCTACAGCAGGTGGGACAACAGGTAAGGCTGCAGGGGCAGGAGGGGTCACCGAAATTTCACCAGTTGGGTCTCTAGCAACGACCATCCTGACTGAATTGCCGCAGTTCCTCAGCACTTGAGCAACTTGCTCACTGGTCATTCCCTGCACGTTTGTGCCACCAATCTTCAAGATGTGGTCCCCTGTCTGGAGTCTTCCATCCTTTAATCCAAGAAAAAACAAAATTATTTTGAGAAATCAATGATCTAACTTCACCAATTAATAACAATTCATCAGACTCTCAGTTCTGGCAAAATGACTGAGGAGAATCCACCTAAAATGCTGAAATAAAATATAATATTTTTAATTAATGGCTGAATTGTCAAAAGAGTAAAAGTATTCCTTGTACAATACTAAATACAGAAGGGTTTGAAGTGAGAAAAATAATTGGTATTCAAACACAGGCATTTGCTTGAGGATATCAATTCATGCCTAGTGGCCTAGAGCCAGGATATTAATGGTCATGTATGCAAGGAAGTGGTCAGAAAGCCCTGCATCTCAAGAAGGGAAGGAGGTTGGAACAGAAGCCTCCAGCAGTATAAAGCTAGGAACTCCAAAAGCCAACAGGCTTGGTGGCATGTTTGAAAGGAACAGAAAAATGCTACTATGGCTAGAAGAGAATAAGGAAGGAGGAGAGTAGTCAAAGAGAGGAGAGCATTAACAGGGGGTCAGACAGTACAGGGCATTTTCTCTGCATGACTGGGATGCAGGTCATTGGAGGGTTTTGAACAGAGGAGTGACATTATCTGACTTACTTTTAACACGATCATTTAAGCTTCTGTGCTTAAAATAGACTATCAGAGAGGACACAAGAGAAGCAGAGATACCAGTTGGGAGGCCTTAGCAATAATCCATAAAGAGATAACAACAGCTTGGACTAGGTTAGCAGTTGGGTTGTTGAGAAGTGAGAAACTAGATTTACTTTTAGTGATCTGTCAACAGGATCTGCTGATAACTTCTATATGGCATATAAGGGGGAAAAAAGAAATCAAAACTCTTAAGTTTTTAACCTAAGCAACTGGAAAGATGGAGTTGCAATGCACTGAGATAAAGAAGACTACAGAGGAATAGATGGGTAGGAGTGGAAATCAGGAGTTCAGTTTTACAGATGAGTTCAGTCTGAGATGCCTACTAGTCATTAAAGCGAAGATAACAGGTATACAGCTGGATATACAAATCTAGAGTTCAGGGGAGAAGTCCAGACTACACATTTAAATTTGGAAGTCATTAGCATATAGGAAATATTTAAGTCATGATTCTGGATGAGTTTGGAGTAAGGATATGTAATGTTTAATTTCTTAAGCTGGTGGTGTGTATATCGGCGATTATTGTTCTAATTATTATTTAAAATGTGCACAGACATGATGTACATTCTTTTGTATGTATTTATACTTCACACAAAGTTTGACATAATTTATCAAAATGTATATCAGTTCAAAATGTTTATCATTTTCTTTCTTTATAAAAGTTTTGAAACAACTGATTTGTTTCACCAGAAATTGTGAATTCACCTTATTTATCTTTATTACAGTATATTAAATATACCAAAATGTCAACATAGCTTGTTAAAAAAAAAAAAAAATCACACTACAGAGGACCTTACAGGTTAAAAATCACTTTCGTGTGTCATTCAGAGAAGGACAACTTTAAAATGAGAAAATTGAGGTTCAAAAAGGTTGACTGACTTGACCAAGGCCACACAGCTAATAAATGGCAGAATCAAAGTTCAATCCAAGCTGCCCATTGAAGAATGTTCTTCTCATTTAGTCGGTGGCCTAAACTTTGATATCTCCAGAGGAACATTCCTGCAGCAAGTGACTCTCTCATATACAAAAGGCTACTAGTAGACAGTAAATTTACTGTTTTCCTACTCTCCAAGAAATTGCTTATAACTGTCAAAAAGTTTGAGTAAAATGAAGATAAAAAATACATATTTTGCAACTGGGAGAGGAAGACAGCTTGAGAACAGAGCAATGACCACTGGGTTAATTTGGTTCTAAGCTCCATATTCTTGGATCCAGATGGCACCATCGATAAGCTGTAGATGAAATTCTGAACAAAGACGTTTTTAAAAAGCCTTAAGACTGAAAAGTATTTTCTGCATCCTTCCTTTTCTCCAGTTTTGCAGGAACCTAATGAAGGAAGGCTTTAAACCAAAATAATGAGTACAACGCTACGTGGTTTGTGGTGAGTACTGCAGAAGGCACTGGAAGGGACTAAAGTAAAGAGAAGCAGTGTAGCAGAAATGCAATTCAATTCAGAAACGTGGAAAAGAAACAGATGCAAGGAGGACATAATTATTAAAAAAAGGAATAAAGAACTGCTGGGTTTCTACTTTAATAATGATAATTTGATATTCTGTTTTCATCCATGCCACAGACTTCAAATAAAATAAGCTACTACTTAAGAGAAAATCAGTGGTCCTGATGAAAAATAAGAGTAAAGCTGTCTTTGAATCAAAAACTATTCTTGAACAAAATTACACCCTGACTAAAGAATAAAGAATATGTCTAGTAAATGTTTTCATACTTAGCTTGGCCAAAGAAGGGCATTTCACCATGGAGTATATATTTACTTGCTTCCTAGGCACTATTTTTTTTTTCCTATTTTACCTCAACTCTTAATTTAAAATGATGTAGATAATTTGCATCTGTCACTGAAAGTCAAACATTTTCTTCTTGCAGAAAAACAGGTGTTCTAAGGAATTCGTAAGTACAAAAATAGTCATTAGTCAGATTGGTAGGAAAGACACCAAAATGACAGCTACCTTGTCTAATTCCAGAAGCCCCAAACATTTCATTTTATTGATATTTTCTGATCAACATTATCCTTCCATTACCTACCTACTGTGCGAGGAAACCAAAAGGCATAAAATCCTTTTTGTTCTTTAACAGAAATCATAAACCAATGAAAGCCAACAGCTATACCAAGATTCAAGCACAGTGTGCTAATCAAATATTCAAATATAAAAGTTTATTAACCATAGATTGTCTCATAAGAGAAAAAATATGCACATTGGAAAAGATAATGTGAAAGGCAGAAAAATTAAAACAGCTGATAGAAGAGGTATCACACAATTACAGTGAAAACACTAACAGTATCATTTATATAGTTAAAATTAAAAAATACTTTAATACAAGTTAGCAGCTTTTGGCTAAAAAAACCAATTACTTTGTATTTTAAGTTCTCTAAAATGCTGTTGTGGATGATAACTTCAATTCAAAAAATATTTGAAAACCTACAGGAATCAGGCCTGAACTACAAAAGAAAAAATCAAATTTGTTTCTCCAAAAACTAAACTATGGCACCAAACTTCTACAATTCAGAAAATGAAATCATTACTATGTTTGATTCCAGGTTGGTTCTATTATTGATCTTTAATCAAAAGGCAACATGTCACTGACAAAAAACAGTGACTTTATAAGATAAACTAAACACTCCTTCCCTAAAGGAATTAAGGGAAGGAATTAAGTCCAAGTATACCTATCCTATCCTAACCAAATTCCTAAAGCCCTCATTAACTGATTGTTAAGGATAAAGAAAATATCTGTCTAAAGAATCACTCAAAGCAAAAGTGCTTGGGAATAGCCAACTGTTTAGTGACCTCGAGCTGGGCTTTGCATCACTGAAAGTCCCCCAGAGTGCACAGCCACTCTCCAACCCTTGCTTGGTTCCATTCCTTCTTAGTATTAAAGGTTACTGGGTAGTTAATATGACTTATGTTATAACTGCCTCATATCATAATGTCAATAATTTATGACAACTTTTAAATAGGCTGTGTTATAATGGTCACTTTCTGGAGACAATAGGGTAACCCAGGGTACCTGACTTCCCCAGAATTCCTCCAGACCACATGAGTGAGGTTTCTGCAAAACAAAGAAGTTTTACATTACCCATCATCAATTTCAAAACAAAACAAAAACTAGCTCTTGAAAAAATTTTTTTTACTCGTTATTAATATTCATGATACAAAGCTGATTGTCACCCCTCATGCCCATGATGTGAGGGCCAGATTCATCCTGAAAATTTTTTAAATTTTTGCCACAACTGAATAGAATGCTCTAAAGATGTGTGTTTCAGGCACTGTGAATTTTGGAGAGTATCTCATATAATTCCTTATCCATGAATTGGTCCTAATTACATTAACTTATTGGTCATTGTAACCAGATCTCAATAAAGATTTCTGAAAAGCTTCCTACAATTTTTTTTTTAATGCTATTTTCCATTTTATTTACTTTAACAGCAGAAGGACAAGTAGGGGCTTTGGAGTCAGACACCCAAGTTCAAATCCTTGCTCTACTTTGGTCAAGCTGTATGGTCAAAGGTCGATTGCTTGTACTACGTAAATCTCAGATCCTTCTTAAGCAAATAGAGAATAAATTCCTCTCTCATTGAGCTGTGAGCATTAAACTCAATACTATATGTAAAATGTTTAGCTTGGTGCCTTGTTCACAGCAAGTCTTTAAATACATCCATTTCTGATCGCTCCTTAGGCTGCAGTGACCTCAGTTAAGTGTTCTTCACCACATCCCCTCAACTCTACCCCATCTTTTAATCATACATATTGACTTATCTGTTAACACGAATGGAAATATAAGGAGCTTTTGTACCACGAAGGTTGCCATAGTCAACAGTGAGCATTAATATTCAAAACATGAGTATATTTTAATTAAAAGCAATATCTCCTTTAATTTTTTTAAAGCTGTGATTAGGCTAGATAAGCAAGAATTTAGCAACCGCTTGCAGAGTCAGGTAACCCTGGGAGGGGCTGCCTTGGGGACAACCCAGCTCTTACATTTCATCCCAGCTAAGAGGATTGGAAAGGAAAGGGATGAGGAACTAAAAGGCATTGTGCTAAAGTACATTACATTGAATTACATTCAATTTCACACAGTCTTTTTTAAGGCAAGCACAATTATCTCCTAGCAAAAAGAGTTAACAGCAGGCCTGAGACTGCTGTTCTTTGAAAGGCCTGCTCACAAGGTTGGCCCTTGGCTAATACCTTGGAGCTTAGATTCTGGGAGAGTTCCCACCAATCCCCAGTAAGAATGGCTCACAATGCCTACACCATCGTGCAAACAATGTGGTTTCTCTTGAATACCTGCTTTCTTCTGTAACTTTGGTACATGCTAGACAATGTGTGCCAACATGGCCAGCAACTA